CGTGAAAGACCGGCAACGACATATTGATACATTATACAACATACGGCGTAGGGAATAGTTATCGATTTTCGATGCATTACCAACTATTTATTGCAGGATGTCGAAAGAAAAATTGTGGAGACTTATGGTCACGTAGTTGTTACTTTTCTGCGTGTTACGTGCTTCTATGAAGTCGAAGCAAATTAGTGTTGTTGGTAAATACGATGAGTTTATTTACTAATCTACGTTATGTTAGGTAATGTATGGATTAAAGTTTGACAAAAAAATATTTGACAACAAATCGAGGCAGACCCAACTCGAAAAATGTAAAAGAAAATTATGTTTCTGAGTTTATTTACAAACAATTAGTAATGACAAAAAGACTTCTTATTTACCCGAAAAACAATTACAGCTAGGCATTTATTCTTAATACGTTTTTACTTACACTTCAAGGAATGTTTCGGGGTTAGAAAATATTCAACTTGTTTGTAAATAATAAAAATAAATATGAGGTAGTGTTGGCTATAGCCGCAAAATATTTTAAGGTACCAAACCACAGGACTTGTTGCTGGGCGTGGAGCACATTTTGATAGGAATAATAGGAGGAAGAATAGGAAAAAATGAAACTGTTTTAGAATGCTTATATCTATATTGGCTTTATTTATGCATAAGGCACATATTTTCATTATACAGTTTAAATAATTATACTATAGGTATTGAATATCAGCCTCTAGTATGGCTTGAAATTAGTCGAGTTCCTCGTCAAATAATTACGTGAGCAAGCCGACAAACCTAATAATTAATTGAGTATGTCTCACAAAAGTTATAATTTAAATAAATACCATGGGTTTTACATGGGTGTTAGGTTTTACAATTTTGTCAACCCTTTATTTTATATCAATGGTCTTTTAATCAAGCTAAATAATTATTACGCATGTGGTTCTCATTAACTGGATACAACTTGACTCAAATGAAAAGACTAGGGTTGGTGCATATGGTGAATCTTGGGTAAGTCCATGTTGTGTTATACTATGCTAAGCCTAGCTAACAACTGTTTAAACATAGCGAAACCAATCTAATCTGGACTGCTTTTGAGATATTGTAATATGGAACTGTACGGCCAAAACTTAAATGTGAGAATAGACAAGAGTTGGCGGGCAGCCAGCGTAATCATCGTTGAGTAATAGGTAAATGTTCGTATTTGCACAGCATTTGTGTTATTGCCAAGCAAATTTGCACGTATTTATATTCCGTGATTAACATTCCAAGTGGTTGTTATTTAAATTGCCCTTTGTTTTAATATTGATGAGGTTTTTGATGTTGTCGACAATTGGTTGTTGTTGTGATTGTTGAGTTGTTAAGTTTGAATGTTTCGAATGTTTCATCAAGACAATAATCGTTTTTTTGTAAATAAATTTCAAATACGTACTTTTTACAAGTTTTATTTATCCGAAATTTTACAATGATGAAATAATTAATACACCATGAAATATTGACGAAAATTGTCTCTAATACTCACACAACAATTTATTTGCACATACTTGACATATCAAAATCGTTTGCCCCTGTCTGTCTGCACAGCCTAATTGAATAAGCCTGATAAATCGAAAAACAAATTAGACAGGAGCCCCTGTTTTGGAAATCGTTTGAACTTGTCGTCTCTACTCAGCGTTTCTCGAAGAATAGTTGATAAACATCTAATCGACTGGAGGACAGTCCTGAACACTTCTCTTTGAAAAACGTTGAGTACTCAAGGATTTTTTCAAGGAACTAGCCTAATAAGGAACAAGTCATTATTTATGTTAGTCAAGCGGTCATGTGGATTGATTGCCGTGAGATCTAGAAATATATCAGTTATGTTTCAGTGGTATTAACAGAAACTATGTAAGTAAAAGTCAATGTAAGATTTTACTGTGATACATAAAATAAATACGAAATTATGTTAACATGAAAAATCAAATATGCTATTCCTCATGTAGGTTACTTGTTATATTTAGTTTTTGTTAATTTAAGTCACTATTGTTCAACTTTACGAAAGAATAATAAAACAAGTCTTGCAAAATGAGTATTCAATACAAGTGTCATATCATCAATTAGTCGCTGTAGACAACTTGACATAGGTACTTAATTGTGAAAATTACTTCCACCTAAATAATGATTTGAAAAATTTGAGAATATTTGCATATACAAAGTGAATTCGCTTATGTTATTAAACTTATTGGCTCACCGTTTACATTGTTTGACGTGGGTTGACGTTTTCAGCCATTCTCCCTTTTTCCCACAGCACTCATATAACTTAAATAATTTATTTTTCTTTTTGATTTGGTAAAGAAGAGCTGCCTGGGTATCAGCTGTTTGTCTTCCCCTGTAATTTGTAAAAGTCAACTCAACGAAATTGGTTCCTATAAATTGGCGATTGCCTATTTAGCAACCGTTTGCCCGACGTCACTTGAATGTATTGCTCTGGTAGATTGTAACATGGAGTTTTAATGGAAGCGTTTAGAATATAACGCTAAACTAAAGCGTAGATAGTATGTTCTTGTCAAAACATTATATTTAGTAGTATTAATGCCACTTATGTACGTTTAATTACTTACCAATGATAACTAAACATATTTTGGTTGCATATTCTATATAAATTCACAGAAATTCCTAGAAAATAGGAAATACAATACTAGGTAAAACTTTCATAACTATTTAAAAAAAGATTAAGTACCTCTATAAGTTGATACGACACTTGCAATCAAACGTTTAAGTGTTCGAGAGCCATGATTCGATATGAATGGGCCGGCTCGACCAGAGTGATACCACGGCCTCACAGAAGACCCACGTGAAACAACGCTGTGTTGTGTTTCGTCGTGTGTGTGAGGTTACCGGATGCCCAATTCCCCCCCCCTCCCTTTCCTCAATCCCTGAATCCTCAACAATCCTTAAATTCTTAATTCCAAAAGGCCGGTTACGCACGTCTGGTGTTCCAGGTGTCCATGGGCGACGCTGATTACTTACCATCAGGTGATCCGTCTGCTCGTTTACCGGCTTATCCCATACAAAAACCCAGCGGTAAGTCCTCTCTTTGAGGAGTGGCTTGAAAGACGCTACAGCGTCCTTACCTACCGCCTGACGCAGGTCCTCACCGGACATGAGAGCTTCGGGAAGTACCTGTGTCTAATAGGGTGGGGGGAAACGCCCGGGTATCATCACTGCGAGGACCGCCCTGAGAACACGGTGGAACACACAGTGAGGGAATGCCCTGCGTGGGCTGAGCACCGCCGTGTCCTCAGGGAAGTGATCGGCGATGGCGACCTCTTGCGTTCGGCCCTAGTGCGGGCCATGATGCGGAGCGAGGGGGACTGGGATGCCGTCTTCTCCTTTTGCGAAGCAGTCATGCTAGCTAAGGAGGAGGCGGGACGCGTGAGGCAGCGAAGCGCTCCCTTTTCACAACCCAGCCGTCGCGAAGGACACTCTGGGCGTTGGGGATCGCGAGACGATCTCTGGCCTCCGTAAGCGCGGGCCTGCCGACTGCGAGCATGGGTGGCTCGCCGCCCGACCAGAACAAGACCCGAGCGTACGGCACGTCGCGTTCCGCGCGTGCCTCATAGGGCTGACGTGCCTCTTAACGCTGATACGGAGTCGCGGAGAACCTAACGGGTTACCGGGGCTCCGGCTCGAAGGGCAGGAGTAGGAACGGGGTGTTTTTAGTCAGTAAGAGTCTGACACTCCCTCTCGCCTCACCCAGGCGGGAGCAGTCATTCGATGATTTCCCCCCTTAAAAAAATATAAAAAATCCCATAAAAACCGTTAATAATTAAACTCTGGTGGAATACCACAATGTTTTGGTGAATATTCAAAGATTCGGTAAGTAAATCATAGTACCTAATGAGAGTAATTCTAGTATTGTTTTCAATAAAATTACGATGTGCCGTAATTTTCCTGAACGAAAGTGTTCTAAGAAAATCCGTCCCTAATTTCATCAGGGAAATTACAGGATACTATAAATCTAAATACTTTTTCACAAAATATTTGTCCTTGTTCTTTAACGTGACACGTGGAATGTAAAATGGTACGGAATTATTTCGTCTAATTTTATTCTCTGGTTCAAATTTTATTAATATTATTATTCCCTTTATTTATTTTCATACTTGATTTAAATATTTTTAAATATTTCATTATATGTAAAAAAAAAAAAACATTTAAAAATATAAAAAGCAGTAGCCCACCGGTAACGGGAGAAATCCAAGCTACCGGTGGTCAGGGCTCCAGAGAAAGAAATTTCCGAACAATACGCGCCGTGTCCAGAAGTACTGCTTTCTGCATCAGGCCCTTGACCCAACCATCTAACGCTAGCCTACTCAGATGTTGGTCGAGGCTTTTAGCAATGAGGCCATTGGCAGATACGACTATCGGCACAATGACTGCTGAATCCACATCCCACATGTCGACAATCTCATGAGCTAAATCAAGATATTTACTTGCTTTATCTTTTTCAGCTTTCACTAGATTCTCGTCATGTGGGATTGTTATATCAACTATCATTGTGCGACGGCTTGGTCGATCTATCACCACAATGTCAGGTTTGTTTGCAACAATTGTCCTGTCTGTGATGATAGTTCGATCCCAATACAGTGTGACATCTCCATTTTCAAGAACTGGGTCAGGCAGATACTTATAATACGGCACTTCAGATTCTACAAGTTTATATTTCAAAGCAAGTTGTTGATGAATAATCCTGGCTACAAGATTATGTCTATGCAAGTATTCTCCATTAGCTAAGTGAGAACAACCCGAAATTATATGCCGGATGGATTCCCCGGGATGATGACATGCCCGACAAATGTCAACAGTTCCATCCTTTATAATATATTTTCGATAATTGTTCGTCATCATAACTTCGTCCATAATTGCACAGACAAAACCTTCCGTTTCTCCAAATAAGTTACTGAAACGTAGCCAGGATACGGACGCTAAGAAATCCGTATTTGGCCCATGTAAGGCTCGATAGTAGCGTCCGTGCAACTCCTTACTTTGCCACACATTCCTGCGATCATTAGTGCTTAGTATTATAGGTTCTCTCCAGTTCTCGTTAGCCAAGGAGAGCGGAGTAAGCCCTTTGTCCACAGCGACAACATCTCTATGCATCCCCACGTCCATTTTCAAAAAATACTTTCGGAGACTGCACACTTCACTATTGTGGAGGGTTTTTGCATTTAAAAAGCCTCGCCCCCCACATTTACGCGGAATGTACAGTCTCATTATCGACGATCGTGGGTGATGCATTCGATGTTCAGTCAGCAATGAACGAACTTTTCTATCCAGGGTGTCCAGTTCCGTTTGAGTCCACTTGAGTATGCCAAAAGAGTACATGAGTACTGGCATGACCCAACCGTTGTAGGCGCGCACCTTGTTGCCGCCTGATAAAAGACTATTAAGTACTTTTTTCAGGCGGCCAAAGAAACGCTCCCGTAACGATTGCTTCATGACAGTCACATCGATGCCTAACGCTTCTGACATACCCAGGTACTTATAGGTTTCGGTTGAGGAAAGGGGTCTGAAGCTTGTAGAATCAGAGTTCTGTGTCCCATCTGATTCCACAATTTCCCCCCTCTTTACATGCAGAACTGCACATTTGTCCACACCAAATTCCATCCTAATGGCATTACTGAACGTTTCAGTGACATTCAGTAACCTCATTAGATGCAAGTTGTTTGGAGCAAATAGCTTTAAGTCATCCATGTAAAGTAGGTGGGATATAATTTGTCCCCCTCTTCTCAACCTATATCCTAACCCCGAGCCCTCCAACAAAGTGCTTAGAGGATTCAGGGCTAAGCAAAACCATAATGGACTCAAACTATCACCCTGAAATATACCCCGCTCAATCCTAATGGGTTCATCGTTTCCACAGATCTGTCCACATCCTGGATAGCGAAGAACCGTTCTCCATTGTCTCATACATGACAACAGGAAGGTACGTAGAGCTGTATCAACTTTGTATAGCTCCAGCACCCTCATGAGCCATGTATGTGGCACGGAGTCATAGGCCTTCTTATAATCTATCCAGCATGTGGACAAATTCTTGTGAGATCTACGGACCTGTTGGCAAATGGACATGTCAATGAGGAGCAGCTCCTTAGTACCACGGGATCCATTCCTACATCCATTTTGAGAGGCAGACATGATATTATTGTCTTCAATATGTTTATTAAGCTTTGCTCTCAAAATGGATGTAAGAAGTTTGTAAATAGTGGGTAGGCACGTAATCGGCCGATAGTTTTTGGGTTCCGTGGTACTTCCAGATTTATGGAGCAGGTGGGTTAACCCTGTCGTAAAGAATTGGGGCAAAGATCCAGACTCCAAAGCTGACTGGAATTGAGATGCCAAGCAACTATGCGAACTGATAAACCATCTTATCCAAAAATTATGCAGCCCATCCGGGCCTGGAGCTTTCCAATTGGCCAACGGATTGGCTGCTTTGGACACATCTTCTGATGTAATAAAAATTGGTTCCATTTCTGGTATCAGTTCGCATTTTCCCTCGACCTCCTCAATCCAATCCCCTTCGATGTGACTAACAGGTGCCGACCAAATGCTGCGCCAGAACGAATTCATAGCATCAACATTTGGTAAGCACGCATCAGTCCTAGTCTGTTCTTTTTGCTCCCAAGTTCTATACACCCACCTTTGATCCCTTTGGAATGTGCGATTCTGGGTGTATCGTTTCACTCTCTTCTTATACCGTCTAATACGGTTCGCCCATGCATAAATCTTCTGTTTCAGGAAGTCAACACGCTCCGTAATGTGTGAAACGTAATCCTGGGGCCTAATATCAGTTCCCGAGAACGCCCGCCTCACGAAGCGCATAACTCTTGGGCGCGTGTTGCCCTCCCTGAAACAGACCAATTTGGCAATGAGTGTTCTAGCTTCATCGATACGTCGTTCAATCCTGCACTGCCAAGCTGGTACAGCTAGTTTCTGCCGCGTGACATTATTGTCTTTTTTGATTAGTTTGACATGTGCCACACGGCATGCTGCTATTGCTCCACAGTACAGAATTGAATGAGTATCGAGAAGATCTTCGCTGGTATCAAAATAATTTGATAACTCCGCATCTAAAGCACACATAAGCGCCCTATTCTTTTTATGCATGGGTAAACGAGGTAAGTGTGGTCTAAGAGAGGGTGATACGAACCGGTATTCCTGAATTGCATCCTCCAAAGCTCTCCTCAATTCTTCACTGCATTTGTGAGTACTTACTTCCGTAGTCCTGTCATCATTCGGCGTATCAACAGAATCAACATCCACTTGTCCTTGTTGTACATTTTGCGATAGCGGTATGATGACACGGCTCCTAAGTACTTCACTTCGCAGTCGATCAAGCACGATATCATCCAACATACGATTACGCTGAATGACCCGTACCTGATCCGACAGTCGTTGCGCCGATACGTTGATGGTTGGTTCGAGCACCTGAAACATAGCAAGCAATCTGACACGGTACGCTGTCAGGTTACTTCCTCCCACTGTTGCCCCAAAATATGCGCGCATGACATTTTCATTTATGGATCGTGTCCATTTCATGCGCGACACATTACCACCGGGCGCTGGGACCCCTCCCGAAGCCAATGGGCTTCGTGGTCCTAAGCGACTCGATGGCCGACGACCTCCCCGGCGACGGCGTGAAGGTGGTGGCGTCGTTGGCGGTGAGAAGTACTCGTCACTCGAACTCGACGCGCCAGCATCCGTCAGTGGCACCTCTTCATCTGGGACTGGTACCGACGGTGGCGGAGCGGAGCTAGGTGACGAGGTCGGGGATGGCAGGTGTGTCTGTGCCCGTAAAGCAGCAGCAGCTCTTCTCGTCAACATTTATGATTATAGTTTTTCGTTTTGTGTACTGACATTTCTTTGGCACTGGCATTTAAAGTCACTTTATATATGTGTGAATATTTTATTGATTTGTGCACTTATATGTATGTCATCTATTTTAATATTATAAAAGAGTTCGTAATGCGTTATTTTCTGTGTAAAATCTTCCAAAATATATATAAATTAATATTGAAACATAATTTTTTATACAGAGTAAAATTTTTGGCATGTTATTGACGTTCAGTGTTGCTCGCTTTGTATTAATATTTTTATTATCTGTCTCTTGTTCATGTGGTAATATTTTTAATAGGTATACATATAATCATAAATCTCTTCTTCATCTAACTGAACACTTCACCTAGAACTCACAAAATTAAAACGAAGTTTTTGGATATATGCGGGTTACAAGTATGTGTTGCTCTCGTCCGTGCGTCACTGCAGGGGTGCCAACTGAAAATCAGTGTTGGGTGGTCATTGCCCAGCTTTATGCTGAGTTGGTGACCCGTTCCGATTGGGCATGTCCGCCAACACCGCGCAGTATGTTGCACCTGTATTATTGGCTTGTTTTAGTTTTATAATTTACCTGTTATCTTTTTATTTTTCGGTTTTTATACCTTTTATTGTTATATGTCTTTTCTGGCGTGCATTTTTATGCCAAATAAACGTATTTTTCATTTCAATTTCCATTTCATTTTCATTTCATTTTCATTTCATTTTCATTTCATTTTCATTTCATTTTCATTTCATTTTCATTTCATTTTCATTTCATTTTCATTTTGACCTGGTGTTTAATAACATATTTTTTTAGTTATTATAATTATGATTTCAATACAATTTAACACGATTTTTGCACCATTGAATCAAAACTGGTTTGTATTGGTATATTATAAACCTATTGATTTATAAATTGATATTGATTATCTTCTTACCAATGACAATATTGTATTTTGAAAATATGGTATAGTTGTAAATGTATGTAAGTTACAGTTACAGACATTTTTATGTAACAAAGTTCTTCAACTTATATAGTAAACATATATTGATTCACAGAACAAACATACAAGTAGCGTGTCTATAGTGGCCAAATAAAATCGTCGAGATCAATAAAATAGGAATCGGGGCCCATGTGCATTAAATTTTATTTACTTATCAATACATAGTATAAAACAAAGTCGCTTTCGCTGTATGTCCGTATGTATGCTTAGATCTTTAAAACTACGCAACGGATTTTGATGCGGTTTATTTTAATAGATAGAGTGATTCTTAAGGAAGGTTTGTATGTATAATACATGCATATTGCACCCGTGCGAAGCCGGGGCGGGTCGCTAGTCTACGATAAAACACAGTCCAATGCGGAATACCGAAGTTATCATCAACGAAATGGAAATAAAGTATGGAAAGTTATCAGCGATCCTTTTGTATCGAAATTAGTTAAGGGGCTGGTATTGGGAACACTGTATTTTATTATTATTATGAAGTAAAAGGACACCTTCTTTTCTTTCACGTGAATAAAAAATGCAATAAAATCGAAATACGCTACATTTTTCGATTCTGTGCTTACTTGTGACGTCAGTAATTAGATATAGATCCATATCTGTTTTAACGGCAATATGTAAAATAATAGTCAGTGGCGCGCGCGCACTGACGCCGGAGTGTCGCGTATTGTCGTTAGCGGAGAATCCGTGGTAAATTAAAATGACGAATACAATCAAATGTAGTAATTGTAATATTGTAATTGATGAACTTTTATCGTATGTGCAAAATAAAGTGTCGGTTATTGACGAAATGACTTTGGTGAGAGTTTGTATTGAGTCATACACCAGCGAGGAAATAAAAACATCGAAAGCTTTGTTGTTTGATTCTATATCAACGGACCTGCGAAAAATAACAAGGAAAAACAAAGGCAAGGAAGAACGTGACCTCGCAGATATCATACACCTATTTAAAAGTGCGGAACCGGATGAAATGCCTGTATTTGTAGCAAGACAACTTGACAGGCTACCACCTTTGGACTTTGATCACTTGGATTGCTCCAAGCTTATGAAAGATATCTCAAGAATGCAAGCCACTATTGAGGAAATAAAATCATCGTATGCTACGTTAGATCAAATACAAGAGTTAAAGGCTGCATTGTTGCAGATGAGAACTGATTCGTTGCCACCTACATCGGCCTTCAAAGTTAATACGAAACGAGGTGCCTGTTTATTAGATAGTGGTCCGGAAGGTCTTTCACACTTGCATAACTCATCTTTAAATGAGTCAATCAACGAATATAATTATGACTCCAATAAATCACCTCAATATCGAAGAGTTGTGCAGGTAAATCGAAAACAAGTCGATCAATTTTCAAGCGCGCAGCAACGGTCAGCTGATAGCGGGCGACGAGCTACGGGCGTGCCGAGTTGCGAGCCGACCGAAGCCGATGATACAAGAGGGAAGAGTGCAGAAGTATCGCCGTCGCGCCAGAGCTCAGTAGTGGCGGCGCCGCCCGCGTCACAGCTGACTGTCACAGACCATGAGCGGCAATCTGAACTAAAAGTAAACAAACATGACGAAGGATGGAAAACAGTATCGTATCGTAAAAAACAATCAAATAACTACCGATACCGTTATGTTGGAAAATCGGGTAAGGCAAAGGATTCTGAATGTAATTTTAGAGCGGCGGATGGAATGGTTCCGTTATTTATCACAAATATACACAGAGATACGACGGAAGATGACATAATTCGATACATACAAAATAAGATGAATGATTTGGTGTCCTTAGAGAAAATTAATATGAAAATAGAAAGAAATCACAAGGCCTATAAATTTTTTGTATCTGAATCTAGATTATCTTCGTATCTGGATGAAAATATATGGCCTGAGGGCATTGTGTTTAGACGCTTCAATAGTTTTAAATACAGACAAGCGAATAAATTGATGTTTAATAACGGCCAGACAAATGAAATTAATGGACAAATACCAATTCGCTAGTTTCAATTGTAAAAACATCAAGCGTTCTGTTGACAGTGTCAGAGATTTATGTCGAACCTGTGACTTGATAGCTCTGCAGGAAACGTGGCTATTGCCGGAGGACATACCATACCTGAGTACGATCGACGGCGGCTTCGGGTGTGTGGGCACATCGGCGGTCGACACGTCCGCCGGTATGCTCATAGGGCGACCTTATGGCGGTGTTGCTTTGTTATGGAAAAATAGCGTGTTCCAACAAGTGTGTGTGTTACGGTGTGACAATGCTCGTATGTGTGCTATAAAGATAACGACAAGTGATCGGCTACTGATTGTGGTAAGTGTATATATGCCTACGAATTCTGCCGATAACCTGCCGGAGTTTATAGACTGTTTAAGTTCGGTAAGTGCTATTATTGAAGAATATGGAACTGAATCGGTTTTTATATTAGGTGACTTTAATGCAGACTTATCCGGGATGTTTTATAGTGAACTTTCTAATTACTGTAAGGATCAATTTTGGACATGTATCGATGTAGATTTGTTGGGTGCTGATTCGGGTACTTATACCTTTATTAGTGATGTAACCGGCACGTGTAGTTGGCTGGATCACTGTGTAGTGACATGCTCAGCAAAGCAAACAGTCATAGATGCTCATGTTAAATATGACACTTTATGGTCTGACCATTTCCCTCTCATCATTACATGCAATCTAAATCTTATAACACTGAAGCTGCCTCACAAACATACGTTTAACAATAAAGATGTTATGTGGGGGTCTCGTAGTGGGGAACAGATTGCTAAATTTACCGCAGAGTGTCAAAAGCGACTTAGGTGTATTGACTTTCCGTCAGAATGTTTAAAATGCGCTGATTATTTTTGTGACGATCCGGACCACCGGAGTATTCTTGACAGGTTGTACTCGGACATTGTGGCCGCCCTAAGCGATGCATCTTTGCTAAGTCGAGGAGGCACAAAAGCAGGTGGACGTGGGGCGCGTATCGTGGGTTGGAATAAGCACGTTAGAGATGCCCATACTAATGCTAGGAGGTCCTTTGGTGAATGGGCTGCGAGTGGTAGACCCAAGAGCGGTGTCATGTATGGTGAAATGTGTAAGTACAGAACGATATTCAAATCACGACTCAGGTGGTGCCAAGATCATCAAGATCAAATTAAAATGGACGCTTTGGCTGAAAAACATTCCAAGGGTGATTTTCGTGGTTTCTGGAAAAGTACCAAGAAAATAAATCCAACGCCTTGTCTTCCTGTGAGTGTCGATGGAGTAAGTGACCACAAGGGCATTGCTGATGTCTTTAAGCATAATTTTTCTGTAAAATCGCCTTTGGGACCGCCGACGGCGGGGGAAGGGCTTGATACTGGGAGGCCGAGTGGGAAAGTGGATGTACAATTTTATGCTAAACAGGTAACCAAAATCATTAAAGGGATGACGAGGGGTAAATCCCCGGGACACGACGGATTGAGCATTGAACATCTACAGCACGCTGGACTACATGCGCCTAGAGTTCTATCGATGTTCTATTCGTTGTGTGTAAGTCACTCCTACCTGCCACAGGACCTCATAAGGACTATTGTAGTGCCTATTGTGAAAAATAAGACCGGTGACCTTGCGGATAAAAGTAACTATAGGCCTATCTCCCTGGCGACAATTATAGCTAAGATACTGGACGGTTTACTTAACATGCATTTGAATATAAAACTGCATGATAATCAGTTTGGGTTTAGACCGAAATTGTCGACTGAAAGTGCTATACTATGCTTAAAACACACCGTCAGATATTATACGAGACGGAAAACACCAGTTTATGCGTGTTTCCTCGACTTATCAAGGGCTTTTGATCTGGTGTCATATAAGATATTATGGAAGAAACTTGAGGATATTCAGCTCTCCCAAGAAGTTATATCCATCTTCAAGTACTGGTATACGCACCAAATAAATAATGTCAGATGGGCGGGGGCAATGTCGGAGTCGTACAAACTTGAATGTGGCGTTAGGCAAGGTGGACTGACCTCGCCAACGCTGTTTAATT